TAGCAAGAAGCACACCCCCACATAAAGTGCGCTATGTGATGCGGCAACATTTTATCATCAATTACAGCCCTTCGACCAACACCTTCTACCACTCCTTTCCAATCAATTACATCACTCAGTCTACCACAAGCCCATAAGGCGTTACTCAGCATCCCCGCTGTCGGCTGGGACTGCCTCTCGTGGGGAGTCAGCAACAGGCGAGCAACCCGGTCGGCCACTTGCTGACGAGTACTGCAAGTCCCAGGAGTTTTGTGGCGCGCGAAGCGATGCAGGGCTGTCAAAGCGTTCTGGAATCCAAGTCTATGTACTGAGTAGGTACAAGAGTCCAGACATTCGAGGACCTGACCACGTACACATACGCACAGCGAAGATTCCTAAGATTCCTCCAAAGACCTGATGATGAGACTGGCATGCTGACAGGGCGTTATTGAGACTGATAGCTGCATTGACATCTCGAGTAGCCCTCGCCACAGCAGTGCCGAATCCACGCCTTCTGCCCTCAGACAAGCCTCGTACCAAGGCGAACACCATCGCCCTGTGGGATCCGACCGCCAATACCATCAGTAACTAGAAGGCGAAGGTCCCCTGTACCCGTTAACCCTCCCCCTACTACTAATACAACGCAACGATCACTACCAGTCACGAGACTCGCCGCCGTAGTAGACGGAAACTCACTACAGCTGCAGCACAAATCCCTAGTGACACCAGAGCAAGTCTTGCCTTATTATACCCTTCTCCTCCTGCTCCGAGAATAGGCTGGACCACGGTACCCGGCCCAGCTGCCCAAGCCGTGCCAAGGTCCTCTAAATCGGGTACCATACGAGGCCTCTTCTTGGCGAGCTGACCGCATGCCGCATCAATGTCTCGGCCATGATGCCGCCGGTAGTACACTCTAACGCCATACACGTCCTTGAGGATAGAGACCATCCGGGTGACCGAAGACTCTAGGGGTGGTTCGAAGTTGCTACCGTTATCAACCGCGTTGTAAGGGATGAAATTCACTACAGCCTTGCGATTCTTCATAAGTACTCCCAACTGGTGGGCGCATTCCTCAGTGTCATTGACATCCCTTATCACAACGTACTCTATCATAACACTACCCTTCTTCCGCCCGCCCCCACCACTACCATCGGGCCGTCCAGCTACCCGACTGGCCTCAGAGTACTCATCCACTGCTGCCATCAACTCGTCAATACTCCAAGCCTTGGCTGAGGGGACTATCTTCTCTCGAAGGGCCTGGTTCGGGGCATGCAGCGACAGGGCAAGCTTGACTCCGGAAGCGTCATGGGCCAAGGACCGTATTCTTGGTATCACCCCAACAGTGCTCACAGTAATACACCTCTGTGGTATTCCAAAGAGTGTGTTCATGCCTCTTAT